ATCTGGTCGCCCAGAATGACCCTTTCACTGAAAACGTTTCTGAGAAATACTCCACTTCCTCTGGATCAGAGTCGGTGTTTTCGTCAGAATTCTCACTGTCATCATCTTGAGGGGAACACTCATTTTCGCTCATTACTGGACTGTCATCTTCGGTTGCAGCAGATGCCAAACATTCAGAGGTTTCAGCAACCATTGCCACCAAACAGAATACCGTCAAACTCGAACAGTTACAACGGCATTCGTCAAGTTCAACTGGTGGGAAATATTCGTTGAGCGAGGAATCGTTGACAATGCTGGGTCTCACGTACTGTGCGGCTGGAGCAGGTATTAACTCGAAAGACCAAATCAGAACTCTGTCCAGGCCATCTCCTTCAAGATTGTCTGAGTCAAGACACTAAAAGAAACAAAAAATGAATTAAATAAGAGGGCAATTGTGGTTTTATTTAAGAATATCACACATTTCCTTCGCCGCCATCAACATGTCATGTGTGACATTTCTTGCTGCAGTTCGAGCGAGTACACAACCAATTCAAATCATCGAGAAAAAGTTTAATGACACATATAACAACTTACCGTGATATCACAAGAAGAATTGATTCGAATTAACACAGGACTCCTTACTCCAGCAAATAAATCGTCTACTGTAGAATTCTCAACAGTCACAGGGACGAGAGCTCTTCTTCGTTCGTCCATCGAATCCAGAAAACTGACATGAATATCACGACAGATCAGCGAAATACATGTAAAGCCTTTCAAAGTTACGCTGAAATTCTCCTTGGAGACGCAGTGAATATAAATCAACTTGTTATTTTCGAAAGCAGAAGATGTGGAGCTTCGACTTGTTTGGAAACACTCCATAGCGAACGCTGCGACTTTCACTTCGCGCGAGCTGTAGAACAATGATGACGTCACATTCAAAGTGATAATATAAGATAAAGCGAGATGCATCATGGGATACTATTCGCTCCTCCTCTGCTTCAGGTCATTTTCTATATAATTTTACCCTCGATAACTCGAAACATGTTTTGAGCCCTTAAAAAGTCGGGAAAAAAGCCGTCTACTGGCGTCCGAAACATCGAATTTTGGATTTCCTATTGACGTGTTGTAGGAGTATAGTTTACTAGTGGAGGCTAATGTTGATTGTCACAGGCTAACGTGAAGCAGCTTTTCTTCTCAAAACAGTAAAACGCATGCTCTATTTAGGCTATGTTTTGTTACGTTACCTTCTGATTTATAATCTAGAAGTATCTTTTAATTTTCACTTGACATTTCTACAATTAAATGTGATTAAAATGTTCACTGTGCAGAAAAAACTGTTTTTTACCTTACTCTCGGTTATTTTCTTCGAACTCCCGGTAACTCGAACTCCCGATAACTCGAACTTTTTTTCGATTTCCCCTGAAGGTTCGAGTTATCGGGAGTCGACTGTATCTTCAAACATGGCAATTGATAGTTTTAATCTTTTTGTATCAACTTTTGTAAGCTTTAAAATCAACAGTTTAAAAGAAAACGCTGAAAATTTAAATTACTACCCAATTCTGAGAAGAAAAGTAGAGCTTTATTTGTTTCTGTCAACTCACCGTGAATGAGAAAGTTTTCTTTGTCGCTTCTGGCAAATGCTGTCAACAGCAGCTACGATCAAGGTGAGCGTTGTTTATCTCCAATGTTCTTTGCCTTGTTAACTTACTGGCACGTACAATTTTCGAAAATATTTGTCTTCCTCTTTACTCCATAAATTAACTTCTATTTATAGGCAAAATCCCGAAATCACAAAACAGTGACAGAGCGACCTGGTTTTCCTCTGTAGTGCTAAACAAAAAAAAAGTCAGCTACAGTAAACCACTTCACAATAGATCACGCTGTTTAAACACCATGAAGTCTTTCCTTGCCTTCAAAGTCATCGGCACTTGGATATTCGTGTATTTTCAAAAAGGCTTTACTATGAAACTTTGGCGAAACACCCAGTTCACGAGAGCGATTTTGTTCTGCTTTATATTCACCGCCTAGCGCGGTGAATATAACGTCATAGTCCGAGATAGCTAACCAATCAGATTGCTTGAATTACTAAGATCACTGAGTGTGTATATGCTAAACCCATATATAACCCCGGTATGGCTACCGAGGGTGCTCTCGGCCTAGTACCCAGGCCCTGTTGTATCTCGTGCAGTCAAAAAATTTATTTATGCCTTCTTTGCGGGCTCATTCGTCAGAAATAACATGTTTTTAACTAATATTGCTTGATTCAAATTCGCCTTAATTCAGAAAGTGAGTGATTCAAGAAAACGAATTTTTTTTAAAAATATGTTTTAAGTTCAAAAACATACTTTGTGCCAGCAAAGGACGCGAGCCCAAGAAGTACCAGGCCAACGTAATCAAGGTAAGCGAGGCCAAACAGGTCAAGCAAAATGAATAGGCAACGTCCAACGAAGAGTTTTCAAGACCTTTATTAAGGGGTACTCACAAAATTACTCCCTTATCAAGACCTCTTTAGTGAATGGACGATCTTTAACAGCAGTCGCTCAACAAGGCAATCAATCCATCAATTGCCAGGCAGATCACTAGTTCAGCCATAGTTGTCGTACAGTCAAGAACGAAAATGAGTTTACGCAAAAAGTATTTGTACATCATAGAAATCTAAGGTCCCTCCAAAATATACCATTACTCCAGCTTTTTTTTGTTATATTTAAATCATTTATCAAAGAAAATTTAAGTTCTCTTTTTTAAATACTCCGCAAACATTCAGGTCTTCTGACATCGAGTGATTGATTTTGTCATATACATATAACCACCTAGTTTTATTAACTGACCAGTAAACGCGCCAAAAAACTGCCTGCCATATTAAATATGTGTAAAACTGACCATCGTTGTCAACATTATTGGTGCAAAATTTTAAGAACCTTTTATTGCCAATATTCCTAGTGAAAACGATGAGAATTCAATTTTCAATACCGTACTCGTCCAAAAAGTCATTCAGTAAACATTCTGTCCGCCTTTTACACGTCGATCTGTTTGGAAACTGAAATAGGCGCTATAAACTTCGAGAATCGTGAATTCCGCTTCTACTGTAGACAAATACACGAATACAAAAAAAAACATTTTTTCATTAAGGTATAGAAATTATTTACATTTATTGTGTACATTTCATTTGTCATTTTTATTAAAACGTGGTGAAATTGATCGGTTTACATAAAGAGTAAAGCATTGAATTTAGGTATTACCTACTGCTTTCTAAAATAATTCTTTGCTTTCCAAGGATAAAACAACTACATTCAAGACACCAGTGACGTATTTTAATGATTATATATCATAAGGCGTTAAGTTGCAAAAACAGTGATCCCATTTGTACGAGGTTAATTTTTTTCTGAAAAAAAAACCTAAAGAAAAATACTGAAAAACAGCATTTCAGAGATTATAGAATTCAAAATTTTTGAGAGCATTCCCTTAGAGCCCATAGCGACTTTGATTGCAGATCTTAAGCCAAACCTCTGGCAAACCCCTGTCGGAAACTTCAGAATTAATGGTTTAGGATTAACACAAACTAAAAGAAAAAATATATATTGGAAATGTTTCTTTAACCAGGCAGTCAGCTGCTGCGTATTTGTGTTACCACATGCACTGTCCAAATATTATTTGATGAAAAAAAAGCAAGTGGATCAATGCATTTTTCAGAGAGCTTTCAGAGAGAAAGGTAACCTTCATTTCGTCAAACTGTTTTTTAAAAACGTTTTTTTTTT